CTCTCTCTCTCTCTCTCTCTCTCTCTCTCTCTCTCTCTCTCTCTCTCACACACACACACACACACTGGTTTGTCTTTCTATCTTTGCAGGGACTTTGCATTGACCCACTCATTTTTCATTCATTTCTTTAATTGAACTCTAATAACCTCCAATGGGGAAATTAATTCTAGGCATTTTTCCCATTGCACATGTGAGCACACATGTGAAGCTGTGGACTGCCATCTAGGGAGCCCCCACAGCTGGGGGGCGGGGTGCTATAGGGGCCTTGCTCATGTGCCCAGAGTGGGGCAAATGAGGGTGGAGGCAGGTGTGGGTGTTTCACCTTTTACACACACATTTTGATGTTGTTGGTCTGTGGACTTGAACCGGGGGTTGACCTGCAACCCTCCGATCACAGGCCCACCCTCTCTAGCCTCTGCGCCACCACTCCACCAATTCAATTCTATAGCCTAACCCTAACCCACCAATGGCACCTCTTCTTATGGGACCTGGGCTTTGTGCCCATAGGAGCCACAATGTATGTGTTGGAAAAATGTATCGTACAAGTAAAGTAAAGTGCTATGTGTCGTCATCATTGTGTGTTCCCATACAATGACAAAATAGTTCATTTAGCCTATCACACATGGGATGTACCCAGGTGGAGCAGTGAGCAAGAGTAAGAGCCCGGGGAGCCGTTAGGGATTGGGTGTCTTGCTCAGGGCCACCATGACATGTTGGAATGGCTGGGAGTTGAACTTTGAACTTTCTGGTCCCAAGTTGGCTGCCCTACTGCTACACCATCTACACCCCCATCTTGGCCCCTTGTTGTTGTTTGTTTGCCCTTTGTTGTTTAAAAATGATCATTCAGATCATCTGGACAGTTTCTGTTTTTGCTGAGATGTTTCGTCTTTCATCCAAAGGACTTCTTCAGTCTAATGAGCCACATCCAGTTTGAGCTCATTATTTATAAAAGTGACTCATAGCCGTTTTGTGTTGCTAGCATAGTTTAAATGTAGTGGCTATCTTGAATTGGACTCAAGACGTCCATTCATCCATTCAACCTTTATTTATACAGGTTAATCCCATTGAGCCTCGGGGACTCATTTACAAGAGAAACCTGAATATTAATGAGCTGTAGAAGTAGATCCGATGATTGCTTCCTGAAAGTTTCATTTAATTTAAACCAGTGGTTCTTGGGGTATTTTGCTAACAGACAGACGGGATTGAGGCCAACATTTAATACTAAAGATTTAAACAAAGATCTTCTGCAATGAGTAACAATTGTGACGTATTCTTGCCTCTAATTTGATCACATTTTAGCTCAATATCTGTGAAACTGAGTGAGTTGTATCCATTTTGGTTTTTTTTCTAAGGTCACTTGGCTGTGGTGGCCATCTTGAATTGGATTGGCTTCTAAAGTTAATGAGCTGTAGATGTGCATCTAATTATTATTTCATCAAATTTTTTAAATAAAAATCCGATGAATGGTTCAAGAGATATTTTGCTAACAAACGCACACAAAGACGTGCAAAAACAGTTTGCCCTTTGGCAGCGGGCTCTGATACAAAATGGACATCCTGACACAAACACCTGTTGACATTCTCACCTGAAGTCCCCAGGATCCATCCCAAACCCTGTTTCCCTTTAGTCTCTGAACTTATCACATGAATAACATATTCAGTCTGCATGACCATCTCTGTATGTCTGAAATTACATAAAATAACCCTCTTTTCGTAAATGTGGAAACTAAAGACTTCTCTGCCCCCCTCTGGCAAAGAAGTGTCTCTTTTTTTAATTTTATTTTAAACATATTTGTTGTTTTTTTAAATCATAGTTTTGTGAATTGACAGCAGTTTCTAAAAACTAAATAACTGTCTGTAGGTATTTTAACAAGACTCTTTTAGTTTCCCTGTGTTACTTTGATGTCATTTTAGGTTTCTTTGGGTTTTAAAAAATAAAATTTCTTTAATGTTTTGAATAATTTTACATTTCGTTATGCTCCTGTGGTGAATTGATTAACCTCCTGAGACCCAGAAAAAGAAAAGGGTTGCATTTTTTAGGCATTTTGCATTAATTATTTGTCTTGGATGAAAGCAACATCTCACAATTAATTTTTGTATGTCAGAAACATGATTTTTTTTTTAAGGAATGTCTTTTGCAGTGGACATTGGTATCTCATGCCAACTAAATATTTCTTTGATCAGTCTCTTTTTTTTATTGTTTTGGTGAGGAACAAGAAAATATTTTTTTTAAAACCACACAATTTTTTTTAACAATGTACAAATTGGAGCTGAATTTGCTTGTACAGTATTTCTGAATGATCTGTTTTATATGTCGTATTACCATCTTCTTCTTCTTCTTGTTCTTATTTTGGCTTTTCCCTCTCCAGGGGTCTCCATCCATAGTGAGTCATTCTCCTCCATCTCACTCTGTCCTCACTCCAACTACCCCCATGTCCTCTCAAACTGCATCCATATATCTTCTCTGTCTTTTTCCTGCAGCTGCATTTCTAACATCCTTCTACCAATATGCCCACTGTCCCTCTTCTGGACATGTCCAAACCATCTCTATCTGGTCTCTCTCACTTTATCTCCCAGTTCTTTAACCTGTGCTGTACCTCTGATGATCTCATTCCTAATCTTATCCATCCTTGTCACTCCTAAGGAGAACCTCAACATCTTCATTTCTGCCATTTCCAGTTCTTTCTCATATCTTTTGTTCAAGTCTCTGTCTCCAGACCATACAATATAGCTGGTCTCACCACTGTCTTGTAAACTTTTCCTTTGACCTTTGCTGACACCCCTTTGTTGCAAATCACTGCTGAAACTTCCTCTTCTTTCAAGTGTATAGCTGTTCCCTGTTCTCAGATCACGTCATTTGCAAACATCATAGTCCACGGGCATTCCTGCTTGAGCTCATCTGTTAGTCGGCCAATCATCAGAGCAAACAAGGGGCTCAGAGCTGATCCTTGATGAAATCCCACCTCCACCTTGAAGCTATTTGTCACTCCTACAGCACACCTGCGGACCGCTTGGCCCTCCAGTATGCCTCAAATTCCTCCCGAGTCCCATCAGCCAACAAGGTCTGATAGGGACTCCTTCAGCTTGACAGCCTCCCTAACCTGGGGTGTCCAGCACCGAGTTCGAGGATGGCCACTGCAAGAATCACCAGCAACCTTGCAGCCACAGCTCAAGGCAGCCACTTCAACAATTGAGGCGCAGAACATGGTCCACATGGAATCAATGTCTCCCTCCTCAGCTGGGATGCAGTTCAAGCCACAGCGGTGTGAGTTGAAAATCTTTTGATGGGTTCTTGTGCCAGGCATTCCCAGCAAACTCTCACTACACATTTGGGTCTGCCCAGTCTGTCTGGCATCGTCCTCTGCCATCTGATCCAATTCACCACCAGGTTGTGATCAGTTGACAGCTCAGCTCCTCGCTTCACCTGAGTTTCCAAAACAAATGGCTGCAAATCAATTGACATGACTACAAAGTCAATCATCGATCTACGACCTCGGGCGTCCTGGTGCCAAGTGCACTTATGGACACCCATATGTTTGAGCACGGTGCTTGTGGTGGACAAACCATGACTAGCACAGAAGTCCAACTACAGAACTTCACTCAGGTTCAGATCAGTGAGGATATTCCTCCCAATCATGCCCCTCCAGGTCACACTGTCATTACCCACATGGGTATTGAAACCCCCCAGCAGAATAAAGGAGTCCACAGCTGGTGCACCACCGCGAAGGACTCCAAGAATGACGGATACTCTGAACTGCACGTAGGCACAAACAACCATCAGAACCCCACTCCCCCCACCAACCCAAAGGTGCAGGGATGCTACCCTCTCATCTACCAGGGAAAACTTCAACACACAGGCACCAAGTCAGGAGCTAAGAGTAGACCCACACCAGCTCAACGCCTCTCACCATGGGTAACTCCAGAGTGGAATAAGGTCCAGTCCAGTCCCTCTCAAGATCGGTTCCATGCTGTGCGTTGAGGTGAGCCCTACTTCTCAACTTTGTGTACAAGCTCAGGCTCCTTCCCCATCAGAGAGGTTATGTTCCATGTCCCAAGAGCCAGCTTTGGTAAGCCAGGGTCAGACCACCAAGGCGCCCACCTTCCTATGGAGTCATGCGCCCTACTCGTATAGCTCCTCCTGCAGGTGGTGAGCCCACAGGAAAGCAAAACCTGTTGCTCGTTTGGGCAGAGCCCGACAGGGCCCCATGGGCAGAGATCCGGTCACTAAGTGCTCACCGATGTGGCCCTCCCACAGGCTTAGCTCCAGGGTGGGGCCCCAGTACTGTAACCCATGTCTGGGCAAGGGACACTGAGCTCCTTGCTTTTTTCTGTCCATACAAGTTTTTCAAATCGCTCTTTGATTATAACTGCACCCTGACAGTATCGCTTCTAGGATCATTCAGGTGCACAAACTGCTCCACCACGATAGGGTGGTGATTCAAGAAGGAGCATTGATTTAATATACAATAAAATGGAGCTTCGCTGGTGAGAGCTTTGTCTGTTAGAAGAAAGATTTTAAATTCTATTCTTAATGTGACCGAGAGGCTGAGGAGAGAAGCTAAAACTGGAGAAAAGTGAGCTCATTTAATTCAAATTCCTGTTCATTTACGACACTGTACATCAGCTTTGGGTGCACCGGTTAGTGTGGATGTTCAGGTGTCTGCCACTCCTTCAGAGTACAGCTCTGTGTTAGTCAGGTCACAACCTGGAAATAAGACTATGACAACATAAATAATTAAAACTCTTAAGATTTTAGACAATTCAGACCATTTTTCTTATTTCTGAGCTTTTACTTAAATGGTGATAAGGTTTAGTTTTATCATGTCAAAAACTACATTGTTTGAATGTTTCAGATATAAAAACAATCTCACCTTTAAATTATGCTTTAATAAACGTCTTTACAGGGGAAAAGTCTTATTTAGGTGCCATCAGTAAATGATTTGTCATTAGAGCAGAAAATCAGATTTCACATCTACTGAAATAACTTATAAAGCAGCTTTATGTTCATTTTTCTATGCTTTAAGCAAAACTTTAATTTGTTTAGATTTATAATTTTTCTTATACGATAATTCTTGTTTTCCTGTTCAGAAGCATTCGTACCGAGAAACTCAAACAGCAGCGAGTCGTTTCAATGTGTTCATGGATGCGTTTAATTTTTCCTTTAATCTTTACAAAAAAAATCATGACAAAACACAATGGAATAACAATATATCAAGTACAATAAGCGAAAGTAAAGAATAAAACAGTGATTTCTACTGCCTTTTTTCTGACTTCATGGCATTGCATTGAAGCCTGTGTGTGTAAACAAACAAAAAAATTAAAATGAATGTGAAACAGATTGGATCTGATTCTGAACAGGGATCAGAGGCAGAGCCCAGAGAATTACAAAGATAAATAAAATATTAAAATAAAATAAGCAAATGACAAACAGCAACAAGGTGTGCGTCTGTCATTTCCTTCTGTGAAACTTTTTATCTCTTTAGGGATTCACCAACGTGTAAATCTGAGCAAACACACAAATCGTTACATGATTCTGTGAAACGACGACGACATATTAACACTTCCATAAATAATGTTTACAGTCAGCCACCTCAGTCTGACGCTAAAAATCTCACCATTCATTTAGACTCAGTCTTATTATTCCAGATCAAAGCAGTTGATTAACACGAAACAGTTTATCATTTATCGGAGTTAAAACACAATACTGTCACGTTAACAAGCTGCGATGATACAAACACTTTCAGTCTCATCAGACGCACGACACGACGCTCGCTCAGAGGTTTTACTGACTCATACACTTATATACACTGTACACCATTTTGCAGAACCTGAGAAACAGTTTGTGCATGCTAAGAAAGGGAAGATGCACAGATTTGATTTCAGTTTGCTCCTCTGGGGAAAAAAATGTTTCAACACAATAAAAAAAAGGGTAACCAGATAGAAGTTGTGAGGAAGGACTGCATTTTTAAATGTTTTAGTAACCTACAAAATCATTGCTGTGTGGCTCCATGCTTAATGAAAATGTGTTCAGGTTTGTAAACTCAATATACGTGAAAGTTTTAATGCAAAAAGTAAGACAGGTAGAATCAAAAAGGGAAAACAAAAGTCATTTATGTACTCAGAAGACTTGAAGCTTGGATTTCCATTTTAAAAGCTGGAAACATTGAAGAACCTCTTGTGCACCATAAAAAATGCAGATGTAAAAGTACTGATTGAACAACAAAACATTTTAAAGATATGGCTCTTGTGTTAAAATATGTAAGGATCAACAAATCCAAGTACCTGTCAAATCTGTCCTTCCTTATCAATTAAAACAGAAGCATCTGTGAATCTCAGCTCAGACAAGCTGGACAGCAGCTTTCAGCATCTACACTGTGCTTTTCATTTATTTCTGAGTCGATCAACCAAGCTCTGGTGCAGCTAATTAACAGAAATACAGCTGATCGACGTCTGAAAGCACAGCTTTAAACACTCCATGTTCCTCACTGGAGGTTTCAATGTCTTGAGTGAGAAGACCATAACCAACACATTAGATCCAACATGAAAAAAAGCTATGCAAATGAATATTTTGCCTTTTCTTTTTTTTAATTCAAGAGCGTTCAGTAAAGCAAGTTACAAAAAGTACCACTCCTTTTCAGTTGGGGGGGTATGATGGACGGGTTAGGGGTGCAGCAGGCTGCCAAACGCCTGGGAGTGTGATGAGAGGACAGCAGTTGATGGAGTAGTGGAAGGTAGGCCAAACTCAACCTGCAGCCCACAAGGGGCGTGAGTCCCACCACCCGCTGGGTCACAGTCAGAGCCCTCAGAAACGAAAGGTCCACCTCGCATGTGGAGCTGGTAAAAGCAGGAGTTCAGGAGGCCGTGGTCGTCATGGTGGGACGGTGAGGCCCATTCGAGGCTTTGTGCCGAGGGCTGAGACTGGAGCTGGATTAGACAAATGCCAGAGCCAGGAACCTGTGGGTCATCCACGGGTCGGAAAGAGAACGGACACTCGAACAGCTGCTGAGTGCATTCATCACCACACAGCTCTGACAGACTCCTCATCAGCTCACCATCTGCACACAGAAGCAAGATGAAAGATTTAGAAAACATCTAAAGGTGACCTCCCGTATTTAAAGTGTTAGAAGTTCTACTAAAGTTCCTATTTGGGTTAACAAATCCATTCCATCAAATTATTGTTGAACTACAAATCTGTGCATATTTGACCAGACTGCAACCTCAAATAAAAAAAATCAGACAACTGCAGAGTGATGGGCAGTTGTACAGAGCCAGAGCTTAGTCAGATTTCTTTCTGAAAACTACAAGTACAATGGCTAGTTGCCAAACAGTTAAAGATCGTATTTACAAGAAAGTGTGCAGTAAAATAATGGGACCATGACCACTTCCTGATTTTTGTTTCGATCAGCAATTCCAGATTTAAATATGTGAAATACAATAAAGTTGGTCACTAAAATAAATCATCGTTGTGTCTGTTAAAAATGGTTTCATGCCCGGTTTTGGTGAAGACCGACATTTCTGCAAGCCGTCAATATATTTCGTTACTAACTTGTACAAAAAGTGAACTGATCTTGTAATTTATGTAAAAAGTAAGTTGCTTACACTGTTTTTAAACTTTCACTATGTTACAACAGTGTTACATTTTGAACTGATTCTTCTTTCAGCTGTTCCTACTTGAAGGGTTAGGGTCGATATTCAAGACCGATAAATATGTTTGGGGACCTATCTGTATCGGTGATAATTGTCCCATTATGCACAGATACTGTATAAACACTTCTCATTTTCACCCCTAAAATGCTGGGAACCCACCATAATTATACAATGTGCCCAACATAGGGCGCATGCATACTACTTTCAAGTCATGACCATTCACTTAAGTTTCACTTTCACTCTCAGCACAGAAGAAGCAGGGAGCAATATTGTGCAGCATATTTTGCTGTACAGAACATGGAAAGTTTATATTTACTGATCTGTAAAATAAATCGACAACAATAAATTATCTTCAATCCTCCAACCCGCTTGTCATTAGCTACGTGCCTCTCAAGTTAGCGAGCTAACATTTAGCAAAGGCTATTGCTTAGTAAAATTTTATCCTGAACAATTAATCTAATGTAGAGGTAAAATATATCAGCGTTAGTAACGTTTTCTTTGTTGTCCTCAACGAAATGCAGTGTTTGTCTGAATTCTTTACTTCTCTGCAAAAAAATAAAAAAATAAATGCAGCTGCTGTCAATACTAATTAGGCCTTCACCATATGTGACTGTGTAAACAATGAACAGAGAAGGGTGTTTCTTTATTTAATTTATATTTATGTAACACACTTGGTGAATTGAGGATAGAAAATGTGAACGCACGTTAGGAAGATTGTTTTTATGACCAGTGCACCACTTGTTAACCTAGTGGGGACTATGTTTAGCATGGATCTGATTTGCTTAGCTTCATGGCTGCCAAGAGCTGAGCTAAATAAATAAGACCAGCTCCACTCGCTGTTTACTTAGATTCTTGGGGATGGACAAAGCTCACATATTTTCAGCCATTTTATCGGTTATCAGCCTTCCCCTCCCAATATCAGTATCGATGATAGCCAAAATGTCCATATCAGTCACAGCGAGTCCTCCTCCATCTCACTCTGTCCTCTGCATCCTCTGTCCTCACTCCAACTACCTCCATGTCCTCTCTAGCTGCATCCATATATCTTCTCTTTGTATTTTTCCTGGCAGCTGCATTTCTAACATCCTTCTACCAGAATTCCATGATGACAGCACGACGGCTCAGTGGTTCGCACTGTTGCCTCACAGCAAGAAGGTCCTGGGTTCAATCCTTGGTTGGACCTGGGGTCTTTCTGTGTGGAGTTTGCATGTTCTTCTCATGCTTGCGTGTGTTTTCTCCAGGTACTCCGGTTTTCTCCCACAGACCAAAAACATGCATGTTAGGCTGCCTTCAGGACTAAGCCTTCCTTGCAAAAGAGATCTGTGATCTTAATGGGATTTGCCTGGTTAAATAAAGGTTAATAAATAAATAATTTCCACTGTCCCTCCTCTGGACATGTCCAAACCATCTCAGTCTGGCCTCTCTAACGTTATCTCCCAGTTGTTCAACCTGTGTTGTACCTCTGATGATCTCATTCCTGATCTTATCCATCTTTGTCACTCCTAAGGAGAACCTCAACATCTTCATTTCCGCCACTTCCAGTTCTTTCTCCTGTCTTTTTGTCCATGTCTCTGTCTCCGGAACATACAACATAGCTGGTCTCACAACTGTCTTGTAAACTTTTCCTTTGACCTTTGCTGATGTCCTTTTATCACAAATCACTCCCGAAACGTTTCTCCATCCACTCCATCCTGCCTGAACTCTCTTTTTCATTTCTTTATCACATTCCCCATTTTCCTGGACAATGGACCCCAAGTACTTGAAGTCCTGCACCTTTGTGACCTCTGCTCCTTGTAGCCTCACTGTTCCACCGGCCTCCCTCTCATTCACACACATGTACTCTGTCTTACTACGGCTGACTTTCATTCCTCTTCTTTCAAGTGCATACCTCCACCTCTCTAAGTTCTCCTCCACCTATTCCCTGTTCTCACCACAGATCACTATGTCATCTGCAAACATCATAGTCCACAGGGATCACGTCCACTTGAAAATATCTGCAAATGACTTTAAAATAAATAAAAAAGACAGAGGAAAATGAGGAAACATGCAATTCTTTGGATGCTATTTGCATTAGCTTACTTCTTTCAGCTCCAATGAACTTAGGTCACAGACAACAGATAAATTATTGTGATTTGTGTTATTTTATCTTGTTTGATTTACCTGCAGGCCCAGCCTGCTTTCAGTGGGCTTTGTGGACCGAGATCATGACTTTAAGAGAAAGCGGGGAGTTCGTCTGCGCCTGGAGTGGCCTTCGTCTTCTGAACCACGTCAACACACAGCATGAACATAAACACACACACACACACATGCATCCATGCATGTACAAACATGTTTGTTCAAGACAAATTTGACAAAAAAGGGGGGGGGGGGGGGGGACAAAGGTGTGGAGACATAAAAATGTATTTAAAACAAAACATAATGAAGATGTGATGCCAAAATCAAATGCAAACCATGTGAAAACATCAAAATAAGAAATTCAGCTAAATAAAGACCAGGTATCTCCGTGTACAACACGACTGACAGAAACATGACTCATCAAATGAGTTAACATGGTACAAGAGTATAAATGGCTTATGTACAGACAGCAAATGTTTGCAACATTTATGAAATTCAAACTCAGATCTTTAGAACACAAAGGATTTTTCTTTTCTTTTGAAGAATAATTTAAAACGGAGCAGCTAAAAACTCCATAACTACTTTTAGCTAGGACTAAAACTTTCATTTTTTTTTATTTGTTTTTGCAGTCATCAGACCAATAGTTGCTTTGTGACAGTACATTTTATATAGAGCAAGTGTCAGACAGTCTTTCTACAGCAGAAATCAAAAACAACAACAGCAACCAAACAGTTAGCCATACTTAAATCTTACCTTGTTTGTTTAGATCCAGGTTTGCATGTGGAGCTAACGGAGACTCCAGCGGCCCAGTTCCCATAGAGCTTTGTGACAGCATCCCAGAGGAAATGTTGCTTCCCTTGAGATCTCCCCCCTCTCCCCCCTGGTCTCCATCCTCACTGAAACACATAACACAGTCACCGTGTGTAAGTCAAACTTTATGTTCTGTCACCTGAAGTACACACTGGTTTCATAGGAACTTTTTTATCAGCAAACACTGAGCTGCATAACTGTAATATGTTCTAACTTAGGTTCAGTGAATATCAAGTGACATTTTCTCAAGGATCTGATTGTTTCTGTATATATTTTATGGGACTTTATCAAAAACTACTTATTTTATTACTTCCTCCAAGCACTTGCTTGATTCAGAGCGGATACATTTTTCAAAAAGCACATTTGATGGATCACAAATAAATGAACAGCAGTGAACAGTTAGCAGCTGCAAATCAGGAATGACATTGAAAGTAAACAAATTATTTTGGCCCCAATAATAATAAAAAAAAAGAATCACATCTGGACTAATTTGTAGGAGTTCTGTGAGTGTGTTGTAGTTAAACCTTTTAAGAGCCCTTCCACCATGATTTTTTTGTGTATTTTTATAGGTTTTATCACCTGGACTACAGTGTATAATGATGCTTCTGAAATAAAAGCTATCCAAAATGAGTCACATTGATTTGCCACAACATTATGACCATTATGACTGGTAAAGTTAGTTCTATTTGTTGAAATTCCGGCAACCATTGTATCCTAACTTTGGTTGGGATGAATCCAAGGAAGCCATCTCACAACCAACAGGTCTAAAAAACAAAAAAATCAAAACAATCTATTACTAACATATTCATACCAGACAGTCCAGAACACTCCCAGCTGTTCATGTCTATGTTCTGACTGGTTTGGGTTGCTCTGGTGGCCAAAAGTAAATCTACAGAACAAACAGGTTTACTGCTTGGTATGTATCCTATTCAAATTTTTCATTTTTTTATTTTGTAAAATTATTTTTTATCATTTATATGTAACCTACTTTTAATAAATGCATAACCTAAATGACTAAAATAAAGTATAAAAAGAAGTAGATAATTATAAACCTTTTGTCACTCAATGTGAAGTTTAAGAAGTGTACCACATACAGAACATTATACAGTAGTCCCTCGTTTATTGTGGGGGATCCGTACCCTGAAGTCCTGCGATAAGTGAAACCGCAAAGTAGGAATAGCAGTACAAGTAGTAAGTAGTGTTATATATACATATATACATATATATATATACACACACACATATACATATATATACACATATATATATATATATAAATATAAAGGTGTTTTAAACCCTTCTCAAACTCTTGCAATATTCTAAACCCTAAACGCTCTAAAAGAGCACAGCATGTCATGATTTCAGCTCCCTGCTTCATCTATTCTTTACCACCTGCAAGCTTTCTTGGCGACGCCCACTTCTCTGCTCTGTACAGTGAACAGCTGATCAGCTGCAGCACAAAGTTTATCCTGCAGCATGGGCTGCACAGAGGTGCAGCAGGTGCTAAATAACTCATTTTAAATAAAAATTTCATGCCAATCGTGCAGCTCATCCGTCAATCAGCCAACTGTGTGTGTGTCATGTCCAATCTTATTTTGAAAAACCGCGATAGAGTGAGTCCACGATAAACGAACTGTGAAGTAGCGAGGGACTACTGTACATCTGTCACCAAACGTTTCTGCAGTTAAACAGCAATCTTGAATGGCCCAGGACAGGCAAGGGCCTTGTATAAACTTTGGCTTTGATTTATTGACCTTGACCTTGGAGCTGGGGAGATGACAACATTAAGTGACATGCTGTCTAGTGATGATATGGATGGGTATGAGTTTTGTTAAATTATCTTGAGCGGATCAGAAGTTATGGCTCTAAAAAGCAAAGACTTTGTATAACAATCAACCTTGATTTGTGAATTTGACCTTGAAACTGCAGTGATGAAAAGTATATGCAACATTCTGTCTTGTGATGATGCGTAAAGTGTATCAAGTTTCATTAAATTATCTTCAGCGGATCAAAAGTTATGGTCCCCCCCCCCCCCCAAAAAAAAAACAACCTTTTTTGAACTTTGACCTAGATTTATGACTTTGACCTTGAAGATGTGTTGATCATATTAGAAATTATTCTGAAGATAAGTGTATTGTTTTAGTGCCTACACCTGGTACAGCAGTTGTAAATACTGATGTGTAATTAATGACATGTTGCTGGTTTTAATTATTGCTGCTAAAGCTTTAATAAATTTGAATGTAATATTTCAATGCAGAATGGGTTAATAAACATTATTTATGTGTTGTATTTAACCGTTTTTTTGTAAAAGTGTTTGGATTCAGATCTATTATCTGTCTGATATCAGAGTTATATTTGCACCACACCGATATGACACATAGGACATATAATAAATACTAGGTACGCAAGATAATGGATTTTTTTGGGCCAATATCCGATATGCTGATGTTAAAACTTATTTGGTCGATAACTGATACAGATACTGATATTTTTTTCCTGGACCTACTCACAGAGACTACATAGCTTTCTCTGCTGTGAAATTAAAATACCACATTATTCTGTACGGTCTTTTTTCAATTTGGCCTGCTACCAAATGCAGATGCCAAAAAGGGGTCTGAAAATGATGT